CGTCCTCTTGACAATGGGTCAATAACAAAAGGGAGGGTAACCTATATATGTGGTATGACATAAAGGGAGTGTGGCCTCTACAGCACTCATTCTTTTCCTCTATGTGATTTTTGCTTCATTTATTGACAGACAGAATTACACTCATAAGGCCATTAGTAGCTTGGTTACTGCCAACAAGGCAGCCCTCCAGGACACGGAGCCAGAGTCAAAATGCCTCCGTCAGGAATTTCATCTGTGTCCTTTGCAGCTCAACACTACTTAGCGTCTATAAAACATTGTGCTTTGGACTCTATGAAGTAGTTTGGCTGCCAAGAGTTAAAATACAACCATCATAGTAAAGTAGGAAAAAAAAAAACTTCACAAGTACTGCTGCCGCTGTCCCAACACAGAGCCTTACACAAAGTAGATATTTAATAAACCACAGGCCCTGTTTCCTTAGTATTCGAAGGTTTACAGATTATTTTCTTTATAACAACCCTGTGGGGAAGGTAACACAAGTATTATTAATCCCATTTCACAGATATAAAAATGGGACCCAGAGAGAATCATGCTAGGCCTTTCCAATTCCATAGTTGGCCTCCTTTTCACTCTACTCTACCACCACACCCCTCCCAAAGTTTTTGGAATTGGATGTCCTGATATCTATTTTATGTTATTTAATACACCTGGCCACTGGCCTGAGGAGTCACGAGTTTTAGTTTTGGCTCTTCCACTGAATCTCTGTGAAAAAGACATTAGAAGCTAAGTTCCTATTTTATAGATAAGAAATGGAGAGGCAGCAGGGTTATCACATAAGCAATAAGGGACAGAACCAGGATTTGAACCTGAGTTGTTTGACTGAAAATTCAGTGCCCTTTCTACTCTTTTAGTGGGCAAGTAGCTGAGGACAAGGCCCAGAATAATTGGTTCTGGGAGTGGAGGGAGTGGTCAAGGGGAGGAATTATTAACTTCTTCACAAATAGGAAAAGGGAGACACAAAGGGATAGAGGAAGGCACCAAAGACACACCCCACTGACTTCCCAATTTTGCTGGGACTGGTTGTGAATAGGATATCTCACTTCCCTAAATTAGTTATAATTTTCATCCTCATCAGAATGTACAAAGCAGTGAAGTTCAGTGGAAAGCACCTTGACCTTGAAGTCTGAGGATCTATCTTCAAATGTCATTTTTGACATTTATTGCTCGAGTGACCTTGAACAAGTAACATAACCTCCCTGGACCTCAGGTTGCTCATTTGCAAAATGAAGTGGTTGGATTAGATGATCCCTAGCGTCCTTTCATCTCTAAATCTATGATCCTTTGACTAGTTCATTTTTGACTCTGTATTTCCATTATATAGCACAGTTTTTTGCAAATTTAGGGGAGAGAGGAATGGGGGGAGAAAGAATCCAGACTGTTAATTTCATTGGTATAGAAGAATCCCCATTTGGAAATTCAATCTATACATTCAGATCATTGTTATCTTTTACCTATGTCTGACTCTTTGTGACCCCATTTGGCAAAGATACTGGAGTGATTTCCATATCTTTCTCCAACTTATTTTATAGATGAGGAAACTGAGGCAAACAGGGTGAAGTGACTTGCCCAGAGTTGCACAGCTAGTAAGTTTCTGAAGCTGTATTTGATCTCAGGAAGATGACTGTCCCTGACTCCAGGCCTGGCACTCTGTCCGCTATACTGCCTAGCTACTCCACATGTCAAAAGTGACAGTATTAGAGAGTTGTCTTAAGGCAGCTAGAGAAAGGTTAAGTTACTTGCCCTGGGCCATGCAGCTAGAATGAGTCAGAGACACAACTTGTACTTGGGTCTTTCTTGATCCAAGGACAATCCTCTATCCTCTGTGAGAGGCTATGCTGCCTCTCACTGTGCACATGGTAGAAGCTAAATAAATGCTTGTTGAATGAATGAACAAACCAACCTAGATGTTCTCTGTTAGATTGCTGGGTGTGAGCGTTGCCACATTGCAAGGCAGACAAAGACCTCTGGAAGAGATGTTTCTTGGTGTAATACTTTGGAGAAGCTTCAGAGCAATGATGTTTAGACACAACCAACCACTAATCATAGGGTTATAGAGGAGCTGAGAACACCCATGTAATTGGAAAGGATGTGACCAATAGGCTGTAAGAGCAAGGAGGGATTTTAGAATATGAAATATGTAGTCAAAACCTTAAAGCATTGTAGAATATAGGAGATTAAAGCTGGAAGCAACCTTAGAGATAATCAATGGAATCTTGACATTTCACATATGGGGAAACTGAGAACTAGAGAGCAAGGAAGGAAGGAAGGGAGGGAGGAAGGTGGGGGTAAAAAAATGATACTTTTTTAAAAGGCTAAGATCATCCTATCGTACATAACAACCAGTAAATACTTTATATTAGCAATATGATTGAGGGATCTCTAAAGTCATTCCTAGCTGCAAATCCTATGATCCTATGAAATTTAGGAGCCATATCTCATTAATTTCTGTACCTCCCACAGCACCTGGCTCTGTGACCTACATATAATAGGCTTTGAATAAATGCTTACTTAGAGAATCATACAAAGTTAGAACTGGAAGGTACCACAGAAATCATGTTACATATGAAGAATCTAAGGTCACACAACAAAATTAGTGGCAAAATTGGTATTAGAACCCAAGTCTTCTGACTCCAAACTGGTTCTCCTCCCTTCAAACTCTGACATTTCAAGAATTTACTCTCATTTTTGCTTCACATTTTCCTATAGGCATGATCTTACCTCTCCAAAGAGACTACACGCTCCTATAGGTCAAAGTTTCTACATTATTCTACTATAGGCCATAGCCCATTACCCTAAGCTCTGGATTTAAGATATTATTAAGATAAACCTTAGGAACTTTTCAAGAATCATTGTTGCAGAATCATACCTCTATATTTCCCCATCAACTATGTTCCCAACCCCAGAACCTCAGATTACCTCCTTGTGTCCCCACCCATCCAAGGTCTTACATTTAAAGTCTTTATAGAGCAGGGATTCTTAATTTCAGAGGGTCCATGAACCGAGATGGGAAAAATTTGCATCTTTCTTTCCAACATAATTGCTTTCCTTGGTATCCAATGTGGTTCATTTTATACTTTTAAAATGAGCAGCTAGGTGGCGCAGTAGAGTGCAAGGCTTGCAAGTCAGGAAGACCTTTGCTCAAATCCAGCCTCAGACACTTACTAGCTATGTGAGCCTGGGCAAGTCACTTAACCCTATTTGCCTCAGTTCCCTCATCTATAAAGTGAGTTGGAGAAGGAAATGGCAAGCCATACTAGTAGTATTGCCTAGAAAACTCCAAACGAGGCAACAAAGAGTTTGACATTACTAACAACAACAACAACAACATGCATTTAAAAACATTATTCTGAAGAAGGGGTCCACAGGCTTCACCAAATTGCCAAAGGGGTCCATGCCACACACACACACACACACACACACACACACACTTAGAGGCATGCAGCACCAAAAGTTCTACTATAAAAGTAGGTAAAGGGGGCCCCTCAAATTCCATTGCAAGCACTCAAATTTGCATGCAATATGCATATAATACATCATGGGCACAGGGATGTTCTTTGTGACATTCCACAGAAAGACTGCAAAAATAGATAGATAGATAGATAGATAGATAGATAGATAGATAGATAGATA